TAGGCCAGGTTGTGTTTCAGATGGTTTTACTGTATTCGTGTAATATTCTCTCGTTGGTTGTTCTTTTAGAACAAGACCACTTTGAGAGTAACAGCAATAACCTTTGAAATATTGACATGCAGAAAGCTTTGAAGAACATACTTTTATAGAATATTATGACATGAATTTGAATGTTGTATTTCATATGATGACGAGCTTTGAGACCAAATATGCAAATGTACTTGCCTAAACACATTACATTAATCAGAATTACTGCATTCTAGAACTTTTTACTATATCTTTAAATATTATAGTCACCTGGGGACTTCCACGAGGATCTGCATTTATGGTATATGTAATAGTAGAATTTGTAGCTTCCATGCTACAGAGTTAAGGACTGGGTGTTGGGAACATTTGTTTTTATGTTTAATTTTGATTGAGACCCCTCTGGAATGAAAGTAGTCAAATACTGGCACCCCCAATACAGTACCTTTAGTGTTTGTATTTGAAGACAAATCTCTCAGCTTTGATAAAACTGGATGCAATAAATATGCTGTTGCATGCCAAGAGAAATGAGAAAACATTTCTCGTTAAAGACTAACAAATTTGTGACTAAAATATGACTCTTTGTTAGATGTTGGAAATGTAAACTTTAATTCATGAATATGCGCTCATTTTATTTGTATCATAACAGATGAATAAATATTATTATTATTTATGTTGTTGTCTTTAAGAACACTGTCTTGATATGAGAAAGTGTTTAGATTAATTATATGTACAAAATTTTAGTTTAGTTTTCACTTTTGTTATTGTTTGATGTTCTTTATATTTATTTTATCTCTTGTGCATAGTCTGTAATTGGCTCTTTTAGTTGTGAGTTAGCACGTTAAAATAAGGAACTGAATTGAATTATTATTATTACAGTATGAAACAGGGTATAGGATAAAAGCATTATTTGTCTTTGAATACAAATATAATCTTGCATGTCTCTTATAATATATTAAAAATAGTAAACCCATAATAGTCTGCAAAGCCAGTGAATAAGAACCCAGGAGGTAATAAACATTATCACATAAAAGTCTTTAATTCAGAAAAAAAAAATGTTATTTTAATATGTGCAAGATGTATGTGTGCCTTTGGTTTTGAAATGTTGCTGTGACTTGTAGCTGACTAGTGAAGTATAATGTTAAATATTCAGTTTTGACTAAACTCCCTCAGCTATTTGATTTCTTTTTGCAATGTTTAGGTTTTAAAATGTTTTGACATGGATTCAGTTCACTCTTCATTACTGTTGAAGCTCTAACCTTATGAATTTTCCTGCCACAGTTATTTTGAAGTTGCTTATATTATTGTGCAGAGAAGTTGAAGAAGTTATCTATTGGCAGTAGGCTTACTATTTTTTTCTGTCTGCCCATGAATGAAATTACAGGCTCTTCACACTTTTTGCATAAAATAAATCAGAACTCTGTAGGATCTCAGGGGCAATTTTATTTGATGGATAAGGTCATAATTGTGAAATCAAATTTAGTTCCTTTGTTTTTAAATTATATGTTTAGGAAGACAGATGCCTCCTCATATTATTATATGACTTCATATGGAGGGTGATCCCTTTGCAAATCCTCTGTAATGTGGAATGTATAAATATTGAATTATTCATGTATCTTTATCATACATTCTATTTTCTTCATGCATACTTTCAGATTCTATTTTGGTTAGATAACATGAAATTTAAAAAAATTTTGACTTTTAATATTGAAAGGCATTAAGTAAACAGAGAATTTGTTAAATTAATTTAAAAGTGGCAGTACCATTGTATGTAATGTTTTCATAATATAAAAATTTGTAATGTTTCTTAGTATTAGAATAACATTTATGAAAAGATTTTCTTTTACTTTTTCAGTATGTGATAAAACAAAAGGATTGAAAGTTTTATGTGAAATTTAGTTATGATCAAATATCTTCTGTCCTGTGTTAATTTATTATCTATAAAATATTTATCATATTTCTTTTGGTTACAGTTAATTATTTGTTCTGGAATATGTTGATGGGATTGTAAATGTATAACCTGCAAAATTTCTGGTTCCTGTACAAATGATGTGTTCTCGAAATGACTATCATTTGTAGAAGTTGGTGTATTTTAGACAAGGAACAAATTAAAAATGCCATTGAACACAAGGCACTTAATTGTCACATTTGTTGTTATTTTCTCATATATTTAAATTGTTATTGATATATAATTAAATATTAGAATTGTGAATATTTATTCATGTGCATGTATGAAAATATATCCTAAGGCAGTGTTTCTCAACCATTGCTAATTCAAGTACCAGTCTGTTTCTCATTCTACAGCACAAATACTGCTGATAATTTACAGCTTTAAATATTGCTATGGCATTTAAGCTTATTTACAGTATGAAAATTTGTCTTTGTGTGGTATTAAATTAGAAAAAGTAACTGCAGTTGTCTTACAGAGAGAAAATGCAAATAAATATAGCAATGTTAACACATTCTGTTTAGTTGAAAACATGAAACAATAAAAAAAGCTGTTGTTTGAAAGCAGTAATTTTTCTGGCTGTGATTAAAAATCTTATTTTTATTACAACGTAAAAGCATTGATTTTTATATTTGAAATATATTTTGATGTGATAATAATAATAATTACATTTTTAGACTTCTTTGTACTATGCAATGTCCTCAGAAAACCCACTGCTATTTTCCATCATCTGAATAAGAAAAGGTTGATATAGTGACACTGTGCAAAAAATGCTGTAATATTCAACACAAATTATTCTGTCACTAAAGGGAAGTGGGAAAATAAAAATGTTACTGAGTATAAAATAGAATATTTTCCAGCTGTGATAAAATATGCATGGTATAACAACACTAAGTAGACTTGAGGTTCTCACAGCGGTGAGTATGAAGATTTCTGTCTTCTGTCATCAGGGCGATTCATCGCCCTGATGACGGAGGCAGTATGACCTCTGAAACGTTGGTTATCATCGACCAGACTACACAGCGCAATAACCCAGAAGACAGAAATCTTCATACTCATCGCCCTGATGACGGAGGCAGTATGACCTCTGAAACGTTGGTTATCATCGACCAGACTACACAGCGCAATAACCCAGAAGACAGAAATCTTCATACTCATCGCCCTGATGACGGAGGCAGTATGACCTCTGAAACGTTGGTTATCATCGACCAGACTACACAGCGCAATAACCCAGAAGACAGAAATCTTAACACTAAGTAGAGTCTGTGGACTGGAAGTCACAGATCACTGATTGAGAAACATTGCCCCAAGGTTATTTTATCCTTTGGAGACTGTAATTTTTTCAACCATGCTTGAAATTGGACCAAAGTCTCGTGTTCTCCATGCAGGTGTTCTGTCATCTGACTTACTGGAATTACGCAGTGTAGGGCAGCATAATATCTACTGACTGCTAGCTGAAACAGTAGTATTACTCGTCTTGAAGAGAGTGAAAATGTATCATTCATGGTAGGATTAATTTTATACTGGGATATCTTTGTTGTGTATGTTACAGCAGTTAAGTTAGTCTTTATTCAGTCAGCACAATTTTATTTGCATTTCTTCATTGTGCATATATTTTACTTGGCAACATGTTCCAATACTAGTGCTGCATCATCATCATCATCATCATCATGAAGTGAACACCTCTTCTGTGTCACATATTTTCCACTGCATATAGGGTTGACTTGTGATAGTCCCATTATGTATTATTTACTTGCATTAATATTAAAATTTTGCTAAATTTATTTTAATACATTATTGTGTCAGAATTAGAATATGTATAGATTCCTAATATGTACTCAAGGGGCTTCTATATTATCAAGCTCTGCTATTTGGAGAACTATTGTGTTCTCTTTAAATTTACATAATTTTGTATCCACTAATTTAATTACTTGCTGCTTGATGTATTGGGATGGAGCCAGTGAATTTAAAAGAATGGAACAGCAAATGATAAAGAAGTTAAGGAACAAATTACATAAACTTGACGGCAAATGGGTACGACAAATTTTGTATACAAAACATATGTATTTTCCTCCAAAAAATAAGATGAATACTCTTATAAGATGGTGCCATTAAATTGTTAAGTATAGATACATAATCGACAAATCTGCCTTTCTTTTACTCTCAAGATTCTAACTATAGTATTTTGCACAGTACTTGGTACTTTAATACATTAATAAATAAAAATATACCCCAAAATAAATAAATTTACTGTCACATTTATGCCAGTAGTGTTGGAGGACAAAGGGGAACTGTATTGGGTTTTAACTGTACATGTATGAGCTCATTTATATTTACAAATAAGTCCTCAGAGCAGTCCTCCTTGAGAAGTTTACCAATTTGCAGCTAGTTAAAGAAATTCCCCACCTTTTATGGAAACCAAAGGTATCATTACCATGTTCACGAGAGCCCACCACTGAACCCTGTCCTGAATCAGATTAATTCACTGTAGACTGTTGCACCTGGTTTCCTTTCAACCTTTTTAGTCATAATTATGTATGTATTTTCTATTGCTCCACCCATTAATCATCCTTGATTTAACTGTCCATGCAGTATTTGGTGGAGAGGAAACTGATGTCTCAAAGTTGTGGCATGAAAATTGACACTTTCAAGTTGCTGCTTTTACCAAGTGTAGGAAAGTAGGTGACGTATTTGGGTGCAGCTGAAAATGGCCATGCTTTGTTGAACTCTTGTTACAAAAAAATTACCTGAGGAACATACCTGACCTCAAAAAATACTTAAAAGCTGCATATATATAAAAGGGGTATCGAACAGAGATTTTTGTCCGTAACATGTTTGCTAGACGATATAAATGAAAAACTTCTTCTCAAGCCTGTATTTTTGTTTTTACTAAAAAATAATATTCCTAATTGCAGCCACAAACAACAATTCTTGCTTTCCACAGTATTAGACCAGAATTCAGCTTAACATTTACTAGAAGACAAAATTTAGATTTTTTTCCTCTTAAGTTTGGTATCCATTGAAATCCACAACTGAATAATTTATCTGTGTAATGCTATTTAAAATCCACCCAAATTATTCACCATATACTGAAAAAAATTATTGGAATACCATTCTTTGTTTTTACTGGAACTGATCCAAACTATGCAGATTGCCAAACAGTTTATGAGTAAATTTAGTTGTCATGTTCATTTTGTTTAGTGTTCAAGCTGTTTTTCATGATTAAGATTGTCCAGGCTGGCATACTGGACTACTCAGGACATGGATAGCAGAGCCATTTATAAGACAAATATTGAAATGAAACAGTACAGTATGTGGTACATACTGGACCTATCTATTGACCAGAATACAAAATAAATGCATATTTTCAGATTTGTTTTTCCACATTTTCTGTCCGAATTCAAGATAATACAACAACTGAAAAAAATATTTTGGTTTGACCGTAACTAATGAACGATTGTAAATTTACATGTATTCAGATATGTTTAAACACAATCAATAGTAGTACTAGAAATACTGAAGGAAATAAGGTCTACTGCTCTACACCAATGGCAAGTGCTTTTACCTCTATGAGAGGGAGGAAGCAGGTATGCTAACAATTTTGAAATGTGATGTCCATGCACAAAGATTCATACAAAGAAACAACGAATTAGTTTGTATTAATTTTAAGTAAGATACAAGAGCATTTTATTTATTTACTACAGCCCCTTACTGGAGTTTTAAGTCGTGTACTGTTAGCAGCTTCATATTACAATACAGCATAGTTCTGACCAGCGTTTTCCAAATTAATCTGCGGAAACCTTTTGTACCCTGCCAACCTGATAGGACATTAGCCGCGAAGAAAATTACTTATGAAAATAAATAGATCAGAAAAGGTTAAAAATATTCTAATTTTTTTTGGAAGCCAGAAACAGAATATGTAAGTCTTCTGGGTTGTAGCAGTGTGTAGTCTGATAGAAGTTCACTAACGTTTCAGAGGTCCTTGCTGCCTCCATCATCAGGGTGTACCAAACTACATGTGCTACAACCCAGAAGACAGCCATCTTTGTATTTACTGCCATGAGAACTTCAAATCCTACTTAGAATATGTCAATGTTCTTACAATTTGTACCGACATAAATTAACTTCCAAACTTTACCCTTATTCCAAGACCAACCAAGGGCTGGGTCTGAGACAAGGGCCCTGACTTAGGACAGAAGGTATGATAATGTGCTTTATCATTATTTCTTACTTTTATTGTTGTGATGGGGTGAGACATGTCTGTGGAACTGAGTCACTAATGGGCTTACTGTCCATCCCCCAGACGATACACGAGTGAATATGGAGCAGTGGTAGAATGATACCGACAGAGGAAAACCAAAGGACTCGGAGAAAATCCCCAGTGCCAATTTATCCATAATTTGCTGCCTTCTCAGGGCTGTCGCACATCCCAACGGAGAATGGAACAGTGGTAGAATGATTGGCATGGGAAAACCGAAGAACCAAGAAAAGCCAGTTCCATTGTTATTTCATTTAACATGAATTAACTAAATTACGAAAATAAGATTTGATTTCTTATATATTTCTTACAGATATGTTAAAAAAGTTTGTTACTTGAAATATTTTGTTTTTCCTCTTTTATGAGAATGTGTTTTTTGCCTCTATTCTCTGGATATCCATTTAATATTAGGAGTGGTGTTGAGTGTGTAGACAAACATCTCCACAATAATGATCAGTCGCAGGGAGAAATGAGATATTTAAAGGAGAAAATGTTTAATTCTGGTACAGTTCAAATTTAATTTGGCATTGTTCAAAATGTATTGTACATTCTAATAGACAGTCAATGCTATAGACTAGTCTGAGTAGGTCTTTTCAAAATGTCATTTCAGTATTTTAGAGGGGAAACGATGAGAAACGGCACCAAACATTCCTTCTGGAAATTTTTTGTGTCATCACAAGAATACTAGGATTCTGCAGAATGCAGTTTGGGAAACGCTGTTCTAGATGTACGGTTTTCGATCTTTTAAAGCCAGTGACGAAACCAGGGTATTGTAAAATGAAGGTAAGGAAACTGCGAAGACCAAATAAAATTATTTATTAACTTCCACAAAATTTTGAGTTGTGAAATTACACGAGTAAATGTGATATGTGTTGTAATTGAAACCTATACACATGTAACAGAAGCTTATATAGTCAATGCTGCATTACTACAATGAATCACAATTTTAAATTATTCTTGTATCATATGTCATGTTATTAGCATAAACCAGTGACAATTTGGAATGTACCTGCTTCTGTGTAAACATAATTGCATTTTAACCCTTTGAAGATTAGTTGTTTTCACGTATGATTGCCCCTTTTTATCTATTTGCACAGTGGTTTACATTTGAGACCATCTTCAGTGGGATGATCCAACACTTGTTCTTGTGTCAAACTATGAAACAAAGCTGTTTCCAGAATTAATTTATACTTCAAAGGGTTAATATGAAGGAGTGCAGTGTCAGTTTACATCTGTATACAGAACTACCAATGGAAATTCAGTTCTTTACAATAATTAAAATCCTCCCTGTCAAATTACTTTATTAATATTGTGGTTACATTAATGTAACAGGTAATTCTAGGCCCTGAAAATAGAAAAAGGTACTGGTAATTCCATAAACACTGGACATTTATGCCAATAATATATCACTGTTCATAGTCAGAGTAGAATTTATTTAATTATGACACTCTAAAAGTCTTAAAATCTTACATAATATATCAATATTTTGCATATAATAATTTTTTGTGTGGATATATTGACTGTTACAGATAAACCACCTTTAATAATAAAGGAAGTAGGTATTTTTATTAATAGACAAATTGTCGGTCAGTAATATCAAGATGCAGGTTTGTAGCAGTGTCGTACTTACACATTCTGCGCTTATCATATGAACTGTGAATGCATTTTTTGTGACATACCAATTACATTTGTATATCATTTATATAGGCAATTATCTAGTTCTTCGTCATACAATCCAGTTTATTTTTGTACACGTGTTAAAACACGTTATTATTATATGCACATCATCCATGCTTGCCTGTAATTATGTTATCGCAATTCAGCATTAAAATAAAGAATAAAAATCTATTAAATTTTAGTATACAATATGTCAGTTTTACACAGCATATGAGCACACCAATTATAGTCCCATAAAATCCTTCCAAACAATATTAATGCTTTTGTGTAGGCTACAGACATTTTCAAGATTTACTATTAAACTATACTACCACTATTAAAGAATAAACTGAAAGTAGGTAAGAAAAAAAATAAATTAAGTAGCGAAGTAAGAACGACTGACAGGAAGGATTGTTAATAGTAATAACACCACTGAAGCTTCAACTGGAAATCACTGAATTTTATCTTAAGACGTATAAACTGAGAGACAAAATGATAATACAGCTTCATTTCAATGGCTGAAGAAGTGCTATACAGAGTAGTGCATAATTAATCATCTGATATGAAATAACTATTTTTTATTTATTAGTTTCTTATGTTTGAGAATAGGATGTTCAGGATATTTGGGCCTACGAGAGAAGACGATGGGACATGGAGAAAACCGCATATTGATGAGCTTAAAAATCTGTACTCCACCCCCAGCATTGTCAGGGTGATGAGATGGGCGGGGCATGTAGCGCGCATGGATGGGGCAAGAGGTGTGTTTTCCATGTATAGGATTTCTGTTTAACTACATGGTCAAAATCTCAAGCATCCCAAATTAGATAACTTTTGCCCAGAATTTTCCACAAGGGACACCTCAAATGGTTCCTGGCTGAGATCTGAAATGGAGACCTACTGAACAAGGAGCAGGAGTGAGAATCATTATACTGGACATTCAGAATGTAGTATATATAATAAATCAACCACAAAATATTAATTGACTTTGAAGATAGCTTCGAAATTTTGACTGAAAGATTAAGAAAATGTAAGAAAATTACATGGTTAAACTCTAGGAAGTATACAGTTTTAAAAACATGTAGGATTTGAGGTCTTCATGGCGGTGAGTCTGAAGATGTTTGTATATAACAATTACGGGCACACAGTGAAATACATAATATCAGGAAATAATACTGTCCCATCTATCTGACTGAAAAACAAAATTCTTCAAAATTTACATACGTGTATTAATATGCTACCCCCATATAAAACAAATGATTACCACGAGAACAAAATAAATGACCCATACTGAATTCATTACTTTATATGAATGACCCATGTCTCAGATAGACAGATATTGAATTATGAATTAAAACACACATGATAAAACATTAAAATTATGTTACAAAGTCAAAACTGTGTTGACAGTTTGTATAAAGCTAGTACAAAAAATAAATTAATCATCTTACAAATTACCCCTGGTAATTAGTCAGTATAAAAGACAAATAATATAAAAGAAGCTACAGCCATCTACATGGCATTTCCAATTTTGTAATAAAAGCATGAAATATTATAAAATAGCCAACACAAACACAGAGGGTTTAAAAAATATAATGACTAATGGCACAAAGACCCTAGGATCCTAACAGGTACTATTTACACCTTCTGACATTGAGATGTGGCTGGTTAGACACAAGAATTTCAACTGTGACTGGGGGGGAGGATTAAAATTAAAGACTAAATTATTTTCTGGCTTGTTCATACAGATTTAGCTTCTTTACAATTTCTGTGTCATATGCAATCCCTGCTGCCCATTCCCACCACAAAACCAAGTATTTCAGGAATACAACTGTCATTTCCAGGCTTCCAACAAGCCTCCCTCCATATTTATAACCCCCTACAGAGTCAGTAACCCAGTGCTTAGAGCTTTTAAAACATCCAGCAAGTAGGTTACCTTTTATTCGACAAATTCAGGTCACTCCACTCAGTAATAGTTACAGAGTACTCTTAGCTTACAGTTTATAAATCTGAACATGAGACGGATCATAAACATCTATTGTAATTACATTTTAAAACTGTTATAACAAAATCTTTAGAATTATATACAAAGCTGGAATAGATCAACATTCTAATCCAAGATGATTATCAAAAATACTTCACTACAACTCAAATTTTCATTGACCATACTGCATCCAAATCAACAACGAATCACCGTGAAAGCTTAAAATCAGCTACTAACCTCCAGTCACTTCCCAAAAAGATGGCTACACATTATATTCACATACATTCATTTCTGTTACGTATTTTACATCCCATGGATGGAGAACAAATAGTGAGGAATCTAGGTGAGATTTAAGGTTCTCATGGCAACAAGTATAATGGTGACTGTCATCTGGGGTGCTACACCACGTAGCCTGGCACCCAATCTAGTGCCAAGGTCAAGAATGAGTAGGAGCTATACCTTCTCTCCCCCCAAGTGACTTACATGGCATGTAACGGGACTGCTTTGATTTAATTTACTTTTACTCACTTATTTATTTCTAAATTTTAATGGAAATGTAGTATACTTTAAAATGAATAGGAAAACAATCTGTTGGACCATATTGGCTTTTGGACACAAGCTGTTTAACTTTTTGTACTGTATCCAATGTTTCAGTTAACTCTGCTGTTGCCATCATCCTCAAAATGTTACATACAACACCCTGTCACGCCACACATTCCACGCTCCCCCACCAAACGCCGCTCGGACATGTGCACGAGTCTTGGACTTTTAAACTAGTTCGCGCTACGAGCCACACAGTCAACAGCTTTCAAAACGAGGACAGAGATGATCCTCAAAATGTCGGCGATTGATCACCAACTAACACGGCTGATAGCCCGAGAAGACTTTATTAACATGACTCAAGTCCAAATGCTAATAATACATTAGACACCTGGCACAAAAGCCTAAGATAAAAAACTTCTCGGGCGACAAGCTGCGTCAAAATGGAATCGTAGTCCATGACGTTTCGGAGACAGAGTTCCATCTCTGATACGTCATGGTTTTTATTGATTTTACTTAATATTGGATGATGGATAATGTCCAGAAAACAGTTTTGCTTCAACAACACAACATCATCACAAACTTTCAAAATTGAGCTAAAAATATGTTATTTTTTTTAAAATTCAAATTATCACCACAAGATGATTTTATTTATGAAAAGTATATACAGCTTTAGACTGTGGTCTTGAGGGTAGGTGAAGGTGATCAGATCCTCAAAACGTTGGTAACCATACATGGTTACATGGCATCATAACTCAGAACGCCACATTGCAAATATTCACCACTATGAAAACCTTAAATCTCAAGTACTGTTTTGCTTAAATTTTAATTCTTCCTTCAACAGAAGATTTTAAATTCAGGTGCTTGTATTAAATAGTTCACGATTAATTCTATCCATATGGAAACTTTCATTTTTCAAATGGGAAAGCACCATTTCAGCATACATCTTTCAATATGATAACATAACAATCCTCAAATTTGAGAAGCATATGATCAAAAATGCTATGTATGCTTCTTATCGTCACATGTCTAATATCAAGTCAGACATTATATATTTGGCCTATGTGCACTGCACAGTAGAGTATTAATTTCTAATGCTCATTCTGGAGGTAACATTGTACGATATACTATCGTAAGACGGATTACTCTCCGAGTTTCAGCCGTTCTTTCCTTACTGTCTGTTTGTAAATAAGTAAGTCAAACAAAAATGTACTGACAAGTGACAGTAATTTTGCTGCCATGGCACAGTTCTCTCAGATTATAAAATTGAAGCTGGTAAGAGGCTCTGTTTACTGTTTCAGGATGTTATTATTTTAAATTATTGCTGTCAGACTTGAGTGCATTTGTTCCGTTGTTGTGTTTCTTCCCGCCTGTGTCACTACAGTCACACCACGGAGTAAGCCTTTTGTCACAGCTCAGCATTATATTGACAATAGTGATGGGTGCTCCATCTATTGTAAGTTTATGAATACCAGTCAACTTGTAAGCTACATCTGCGAGACCAGTCTGCCGGTCACGTCGCCGTGTTACATCACGCTGGTTGAAACACTTTGTCATGTCACGTTTTCTATATATGCGATCATGTGTATGCCTATATGAGAAAGAACTGTCTTAACATCACGCAAGCAATAACACATTGTATCAATTTAACTAAATAAGTGACATTATAATAACCTGCATTATTTTATACAGATAACTCTTTAGAATTATAACCTGAAGCTAAACAGCGCCAACATTGAAGCCTGCCACTGGACAGTCAGTTCATCTCAATTCCATAAAAAATATAATTTTAACTTTATCCTTCAACATCAGACTATGTCTTCAAGTAGTCACATTCCAAAATTCTGCATGCATTTATATTGGGGAAATATCCCACCAATGTACATATAGGTTAGTCATAAAACCAACTACACTACAATTGCATTGATAAGGGTACAACAGCAGGACAATCATAATTTTAATAATACTGTTTTGAACAACATTCTTACTTGAAAGTGTTTTCGGTGCCTGTCGTAACGTTAATTGGCCGTGACACATTCAGTCCCGCCTCCTTGAGTCGGACATAGAACTCATCATCTTCCAAACCCCATCCCCAATATTTATTGCTCATACCATTGACAAGTTCAAAGTGTTCTCTATAAAATAAAATAAGTGCATCTTTAAATGTTATAATACATATAAATTTTAAAAAGAAAGGCAAGGTCCAAAAGTCATTATATAAAACAGAACATTCTTAAAAGAACTAGAAACCTTAGTTACTTGCAGAGCAGACGCTATAAATGACTGCTGACTGAAACAACCTTGAAATTTTACACAATCATTATGTTCATTATTAGTTTACAAAACAATTCTCGATTTGCAAACACTGAAAGTGTGGTTATGGCGTGTCTCCAAATGAAAATTTTGTATCCTAGTTTCAGTGTTTAATCTGTAACTAACAAACAGAATGGTAAATGTAGATTTTGCATTATTTAAATTGTACAAAACATGATATTAGTGGATATGTGGGTAATGACTTGATGTGAATACTACCACACTTCATAAAATAAGGTCTGTTGGTTGAAACGTTATTAGAGGAACACAGATGAACACAAATACAAGTAAATTTGGTTGAAACGTTATTAGAGGAACACAAATACAAGTAAAAGTGAATACTACCACACTTCATAAAATAAGGTCTGTTGGTTGAAACGTTATTAGAGGAACACAGATGAACACAAATACAAGTAAATGCATGCAAACATACATACACACACATGATATCATATAACTATCTTTCCTTATAAAGTAAGACAAGTATACAAAAATATAAATTGATGAAGTCTGGCCAACCTACCATAACAAGAGACATTATACACAACACAATGGAATGAAACTCAAAAAAGACTAAACATTTGGATGATGAAAACAAAATGCATTTAAACATTTACCTTCTAATGAGCAGGATTCCACCAACAAAAGTGGGATAGTGATAGCGAGGGTGCAGATCAGGTGAAGCAATATGAAATGGCCCAGTCTCAGGAAAATTGTATCGCAGCTGTGAATTCAAAGGCAGCAGATCCACATCATGCATTGCAATATAGTCATAATCATCACGTACTATACGGAAACCCACGTTGATCAGAGAAGCCCGATTAAACCGATAGTGGTCTACCTAAGGGTACAGATGAATTAATTCATATAGAATATAATTACATTGCTTGCAATAACAGGTATAATGGAATCATAAAATGTGTACCTGATTCAGGATGTATATGTGATGACTAACTTCCTGTTCATTTAGAAAATTATGAAGATATGGTGCAAATGCAAGAAGTTCCTCAAATCTCTCTCGGTAAGGTACAAGAACAGCCAACTTATGGGCCGATGGTAGTCCCAAATTTGCATCATAAATATCACCTTTGAGATGATGTTCAATGGTTTTCCCAGAACCTCTATCAGGGCACTGACAGTCATCTGTCAAATTAAAAACATGTGTCCTTTCAATCATTTCAAACACCATTCCATACATAACCTTATTTCTTGCTCAAAAAATAGACAAATAATTACACGCAAAGTATTGACTAGACATTAATTACCTATAGATATAGGTGACAACGCTAATAAGCATCCTACAATAAAAGTAAAAATGATACAAACTACAAAAAATTTGACTTTCCATATTTTCCGGAGCAGTTTATTTAAACAACAGTTTTGTTTGGAACATAAATTAAGCATAACTACTATATTTGTAACTTTACAGTCGAATACATTGCTACATATCAGATCCACATAAATTGAAGTTTATAGCAAATTCTCTCATTCTTGGCATGGCTTTTGATGGCTAACTTTTTGGTTTGTTCACTATCAAAGTATTATCCTACAGTTCCTATTACACGAAAAGGATTTGGCCACGTGGAATACATCACGCACGGAAAAAGAAGAAACTTCACAAGACCATATTTGAAAGTATGTGCTTTCAAGATGACAAACATTACATGTTATTTACGGCTACGAATATAAACACAGGCGTCCGATGGGAATTATTGAACCACAATAACCCTGGAGTTTCATTCAAGGATAGTATGTGGGTAAATGCTGCATCTCTCAGATGTTACTTTTCATTTTTACCACTAGGGCGCAGGAAAACTAATGTACTCTAGTATCTGCGTTATCGTAACTGATATTTACATATTGCTTTACTGATTACTTTTACGGATTCTAGGATTGTTTATAGTTCATAGTTATATCTCATTTCCCGAGATACACTAACTTATTTGCTCAATATTGAATAAGGAGGAAATCCCACAGCAGTTGAATTGTACATTCTCCTGGCGAGGCTGACTCCATATGCCAATGACATTGGGGTCATCAGTGTTGGTTCCATCGCAATAGATCTACAACTGATCGAATTTTCTACATTTTCCAGATACTAGAGAAAAAATGGGACAGTCCACAAACTATTACAGACTTCAAGAAAGCCTATGACGTAGTTAAAAGAAAACCTCTTTACGATATTTTGCTTGCATTTTGTGTACATAAGAAGAGCTAATTAACAGTGTCTGCGTTCGCTTTTATAGTAATTTTATTATCGCCATCTGCATAGATCAGAAACTGCTGAGTCTCATTCAATTCCAAACAGCCCTCATCTACTTGAACTTTCCTCATGGCATATTCTAAGGAAAAATTGAAAAGCAGCTATAATAGATCATCTCCCTGTCTCAGGCCATTCTGAATAGGAAATGTTTCGAATAAATGTTTACCTACACGAATTTTTCAATAGATTTAACTTTAACACGTTTTAAGGGTTAGTAGGGATGTTGGTCTATAAATTCGTGGTGACAAAATCAGCATGCTCGTAAATGTTACACAGAGCGACGGAAAATGGACGAGATCTGAAGCTCTGCCAAGAACCTCTATGACAGGTTCTTTGAAAACAGAATCAAGAGAATTTGCAAAATGCAAGTCATTTAAATTTGCTTTCGGCGAGACTACGCTTCTGTAGAAGAGAGATGAATGAATATGGAGTGAATACGGGCGAATATGGAGCAGCGGTGGAATAATACTGACCGTCATCCATAATCGTCTTACCATGTTCTATTGTATGAAATTTCATCTCAGCGTCTGAAAAGGACCGTGTATAATCATTCAATCGACAAGAAAATATCAGATATATTTGTTCTGTCCTCTAACGACATTTTCAGTAATTAATTCATAGTAGTGTTGAAAGCAGTTACTAGATGGCAGAACGACTGGCATTAACGCACGTTGAACGTGTAAATGGCCCTGGGCGTTATCGTTGTTAGGCGACGAGCAGATTCCTGCTTTAGAAGCCAGAGTCGTTCGGTTAGTTAAGAAATTCCCCACCTTTTATGGAACTTGTAGGTTCATTGCCGTGTTTACAAGAGCTCGAAACTGATCTCTATACTCAGCCAGATAAATCCAGTCCATATCTTTAGGCCGTTCTTACCATCTGCGTCTAAGGCTACCATTTTATTCTTTCCTTCAGGTCTCTCGGTAAAAATTTGCCGCTCATCTTTTGGGTTCGCCGTTCATTACCATTCTTGATCGTCATAAGACACTAATGCACTCGACGAGAAAGAAGATGGCTGTCTTCTGGGTTATAGCGCTGTGTAGTCTGGTAGAAGTTTACCGAACTTGCTGCTTCCGAGCTTGTTTTTGCTGCCATCTTCATACTCGCCGCAACGAGAACATGAAATTTCACAACCTGAACAAAGACTACGGTTATTTTACGCCGCCATTCCATGTCCTCAAAGTGATTAATGAATCAGAAAAAATTGATTACATTACTTATTTTGTATGCATTAATACATCACGTAGATAATTTATTTGGGATTAATAAGAACGATGCATGAATGAAGATGTAATTTACATCAGTGGTATTCAACCTGGGGTACGCGTACCCCCGGGAGTACGCGAAGACATCTTAGGAGGTACGTGAAATTTAAAAAAAAATATTATTTTATGATAAACACTGAATAATCAGTAATGTAATTTATTTAATTTATTTTAAATGTAGATTATATACTATGTATAACTTGAATTATACACCAACAACTTTGAGGGTACAAAGTTGAAGAGAAATTATATCTGGGGGTACGCGAACAGAAAAAGGTTGAAAACCACTGACTTAGTGGACATTAACGAAGGCGGCGCGCACTTAGGATGGCATAGATATAATAATAACTTAAGACTTCATAAATCAGATCACTTGAATGGTATGCATAGATATCACCTTGATGACGTAAATGAAGATATCAGATTTGATGAATGAATTACTTGTGCTGTATAAATAAAGACATCACTGAATGAAGATGCCACTTATGACTGCGATATAGCGTTTCATAAAACGAACAAAAATAAATCATCTTTCACGACAAGTCTTGTTTTAATGAGGGTTACTGCAGTACGATTCTTTCAATGTCTGAAGTATTTCAGACGCCTTCATTTTCTAAGTACCGTTGTATTAGAAACCTGTTCTATTACAGGCCTACTACATTACATAATTATATTCAAAGAATAAACACCGGGAATCCAATTAGTAAATTCTTTGTTAATATTTTAATATTTTCCGTCAAATCACAATTTTAATAAGATAATAAAATATAAAATATTTAAAATATCATTTCACGTTCCGCATCGAATGATCGATTTACAAATTGGAACGTCTCTTACGACATGTTTCGGTTATATTTAACCGTCCTCAGGTATAAATTAGATTGGTAAAATTTAAAACTCGAATTACAATCATTTACAATGTTATGCAGTTTATTGAAATGTTCTTATCAGATTACTCTTATATATTAGAACGAAGGTATTGTTTTTTATATGGCGTGGTTCATCTGATGTTCAATATTAGTCGGTGATGAGTTGATAGAGACATGACGTGTCTGGCGGAAGACATCTAGAAGTATTACTGTGTCGGGTCGAGGTTTAATACTGAATCATTCGATGCGGAACGTGAAATGATATTATAAATATTTTATATTTTATTATCTTATTAAAATTGTGATTTGACGGAAAATATTAACCTAATTCACAATATGACGCAAATATACTACCTTATAAATTGTTTGTGTCAAAAACATTTAATTCTTACGACAGAAAAGTGACGCGTTCGAAACAAACGACCGGTATTCGATTACCGATTGCGGAACTAGGATTATCTCTGTACTATTTCGCCCAGAATAGCTTTGGGGCCCTATAGGAACCAAAGGACCTCCCCCCTCCCCAAATATAATTGCGGTGGTTGCATAAATCTAACCACTCACCGCCATCTAGAGTCGAAATCTGCTAAATCTTTATACCTTTTCAGCGATAACATTGAAATCTCGTATGAAGATGAAGTTAACAGAGATAATTGTCGTCTTCCATTTTTCAACAGTTTCTACGATTAGGACAATAACATTGCTTATGAAATCATTGTTTCCATCATGTTCAAGGCTATTTTTTGTTATAGACGAAAAGTAAGCCCTTATGCGTCCTATTTGAAGCTGAAATTGCATTTTATGAACAATTTCTGTACTGTGCGTTCATACCAGTGGACATAAAAGCTAAGTTCCCAATTTAATAAACCAACTCCTGTGAAATCAACGTCCAGTGAGGTGTTACGTAAAATATGGTTTTGTAAAATACATAACCTTTAAGCTCTGTTAATAACCATAATATTTTTGATTTGTATTAAATGAATTAACTTGTTTTGCCACTGATGATGACGTCTTGAGGTCGAAAAGCGTTTGGCATCAGTGTCCTTCGTAGTGTAAACAGTTTTGTTTGTATACATGTTTTATATTCCGATACACTACGCGGTATGCGAGGTTTTAAACAAAGAATTACACATACTTAGAGAAAGAATGAAAATAGGGGAAAACAGATAAGCAAATAAGAAAGAAAGGGGGTAACAAATAAAGACAAGAAGGAATAAGCAAACATCATATATTTATAAAATTCTTTCTTTAAAATGTAATAAAGTATAATTTTATCTGTTGCTTTGTATGAATTTAAAACTTAGTCTGTAGTATAATGAAAGAGGATGAATTTTAGGTTCTTAAGACCCAAGTTCTGACGAGAATAATTGAATGCAATAAAGATAAAAGAACAGGTAAAGGTAACAGTAGATGAATCAAATTGCACGGTGAGGAATTTTATAATTTGTGTTCTTTACCAAATGTTGTTGGGGTGATTAAATAAGGGTGTATGAGGTGTCGAGAAGTTCTCACAAATTGTGGTCGGAAAAACCTTGAATAAAGAAACCTGTAATTAATCTTAAAAGTGAGGGTGTAGACTGGATTCACTTTTCTCACAAAACCGTCGAATGGCGAGCCTCTGTGAATATAATAATGATCTTTAATTAGCCATAAAAGCAGATAATTAATCATCAGAAGGACAATGCATTCTAAGATACATACAGCGCCATTCGATTATTGACGGAAGCGGACTTAAGCTCTTCTTGTGTTCGCGTAAAGATGTTGCCTCGGTCCAGCACATGGAGTAGGAAGCTAAGATACATTCATGTGTCGTTTGGCTGCCCCGGTAACCAGCGACGTGTTGTGTCGTGGGATGCCTGCCTACCTGGCGGTCGTTGACTCTTTGTCCTAGTGAACTAACCCCCCTCTTCATCAGCACTTCCTCAGCCAGGAACTCGTTTTCTTTCTTGTACGATACATAAACAGCAAAGAGCAATTTGGCAAACTGCGAGTGCATTGAGCAATGCGTTTCTTGAACTTCTGAATCATTAATTGAAATATAAAGACACTGATAGGATATCACAGATGAGCACTGATTGTGCAGTCAGCCATCACCTTTATTTAAGTCTTTGACCGGGATGCTCTTTTGTTAAATCTTATGTGGTATCGCCTGATTCGACTTCTAATGGTTAAGTGAAGTGTTTTCTTCGCGGTACGGACTGGATTCGTAAATATTATGAAGACGAGCTTCGGCTTCAAAGGGTTAACCAGCTGATTTTCGTAATGGTGAGGTGTAGTGTTTTCTTCGCGGTACGGACTGGATTCGTAAATATTATGAAGACGAGCTTCGGCTTCAAAGGGTTAATCGGCTGTTCCTTTGTGTGCGA